AGTATTCAGACCCTTTGCTGTGACGCTCATATATTTAACTCAGGTGCTGTTCATTTCTTCTGATCATCCTTGAGATGGTTCTACACCTTCATTTGAGTCTAGCTGTGTTTGATTATACTGATTGGACTTGGAAAGCCACACACCTGTCTATATAAGACCTTACAGCTCACAGTGCATGTCAGAGCAAATGAGAATCATGAGGTCAAAGGAACTGCCTGAAGAGCTCAGAGACAGAATTGTGGCAAGGCACAGATCTGGCCAAGGTTACAAACAAATTTCTGCTGCACTTAAGGTTCCCAAGAGCACAGTGGCCTCCATTCCTTAAATGGAAGACGTTTGGGATGACCAGAACCTTTCCTAGAGCTGGCTGTCCGGCCAAACTGAGCTATCGGGGGAGAAGAGCCTTGGTGAGAGAGGTAAAGAAGAACCCAAAGATCATTGTGGCTGAGCTCCAGAGATGCAGTCGGGAGATGGGAGAAAGTTGTAGAAAGTCATCACTGCAGCCCTCCACCAGTCTGGGCTTTATGGCAGAGTGGCCCGACACATGAAAGCCCGCATGGAGTTGTGAGATGGTGAGAAATAAGATTCTCTGGTCTGATGAGTCCAAGATAGAACTTTTTGGCCTTAAGCGTTTTTTCTAAGCGGTATGTGTGGAGAAAACCGGGCACTGCTCATCACCTGTCCAATACAGTCCCAGCAGTGAAGCATGGTGGTGGCAGCATCATGCTGTGGGGTGTTTTTCAGCTGCAGGGACAGGACGACTGGTTGCAATTGAGGGAAAGATGAATGCGGCCAAGTACAGGGATATCCTGGATGAAAACCTTCTCCAGAGTGCTCAGGACCTCAGACTGGGCTGAAGGTTTACCTTCCAACAAGACAATGACCCTAAGCACACAGCTAAAATAACGAAGGATTGGCTTCACAACAACTCTGTGACTGTTCTTGAATGGCCCAGCCAGAGCCCTGACTTAAACCCAATTGAGCATCTCTGGAGAGACCTAAAAATGGCTGTCCACCAACGTTTACCATCCAACCTGACAGAACTGGAGAGGATCTGCAAGGAGGAATGGCAGAGGATCCCCAAATCCAGGTGTGAAAAACTTGTTGCATCTTTCCCAAAAAGACTCATGGCTGTATTAGATCAAAAGGGTGCTTCTACTAAATACTGAGCAAAGGGTCTGAATACTTAGGACCATGTGATATTTCAGTTTTTCTTTTTTAATAAATCTGCAAAAATGTCAACAATTCTGTGTTTTTCTGTCAATATGGGGTGCTGTGTGTACATTAATGAGGAAAAAAAAATTAACTTAAATGATTTTAGCAAATGGCTGCAATATAACAAAGAGTGAAAAATTTAAGGGGGTCTGAATACTTTCCGTACCCACTGTATATACTGAAATATATATTTCTATAATAATACATTTACAGTCAAACCAAAAATATAATATTTAATATTGTGTTACTAGTGGGTGCAGGACACTATAGTTCATTTATGTGAGGATAGCAAAATAAAAAACTGTGACATATTATATTTGTATAACTCTCACATATTATGTGACATATTATACCCAAAAATTCATCATACAATGGACTACCAGTAAAATTGATAATAAATTTGGGACCAAAAATTATTCAGACACTTTGACCTGACCATATTTTGCTTAAGTGCTATCTGACATTATCAAGCTGAATTTGTTCTGACAGTTTAACTGAGTTCTTGTCATATTTTATTACCATTTTATAAACTATAGTGAATAAACTGTGATAATGTGTGAAACGTTGAAGGTGTCTGAATAAATTTTGGTTTGACAATATATAATTTATACATAATATTATAATACATTTTTATAATATATAAATAATACATTTAAATAAATATATATCATTATATTAATAGTATATAAAATATTATATTTCTAATTTCAATGTCGCTCTCTCTATATATACACACATACATGCCATAAATTAATAAAAGTTTAGAATTCATTTTAATGTCTTATACTAATAATAAATATGAAAACTATTAATATAATAATAATAATAAGAAGAAGAAGAAAAATCTGTAACACACGGTCGACGGATTATTAGTCACTGAAAATCAGTCGGCTACATTTTACAGTCTGTGTTCAAGCATTACCTGTGAGCATTGCAGCGATGGTTAGCATCTCGCTAGCGCAGTCAAACTCGCAGGACGCTAACAGAGCCTTCGCCATCTGCGGATCCAGAGGAAGCTCTGACATGATGATGCCCATCTCAGACAGGTTTCCATCGTTGTCCAAAGCAGCAAGATAATCGAGCTCCTCTAACGCCTGCATGAGGCCCTCGGGATCTGGAAGAGGAAATCAAAGCATGCAAATGTGTCCTTCTGTGACTTATCAAACGTGCTAACTAATGAAACAAGTGTGGGCAGTGGTCTCTGGCATTTCTAAAAATAAATCACTTGATATAGACAGCCAGTTCTCCATGTTTCCACACTGAGTGAGCTTTTCTCTTCCTGTGTATTGTGTCTGTTGGGTCACTAATGCATTTCTCTTTCTCCTCTGAGCTTCCAACCATCCAAACATTGACCAGAAACAATGAGTCTAAACCCAGCAGACAGCAGAGCTGTCAGTTCAGCAAATCCACGCATGACCGAACACCAGCTAGAAACCAGAAACCCATCCATACACCTTCATATATGCAACAATTATAGACTACAGTGAGACTTGACAGACTCATCCTACCGCATTCTATCAGTCGTGTTTATTATGGAAGCTTGGATAAAAAAAACTTTAAAAGATAATTACAAATGAAAAAGATAATTACTTTCTTTCTTTCCTCACAATTCAGAATTACGAGATACAAACCCAGAATTGTGAGATAAATTCAGAATTGCAAGATAAATATTCAGAATTGTGAGATTTTACAAGATATAAGCTCAGAACAGCGCGTCTATTAACTCAGTCCGAATTGTGTCAGAATTGTAGGAGATAAACTCACAATTGACCCTTCACTGGGAGTTTGATTGACAGGCGATCTGACCATTCATAACACCAAATCTGCCATTTCGTTCAACAAACAAACCAGACAGGAGAGTAGATTGACATCAGTGGACTTGAACTTGAAAAACGGTGAATTGACGTCTTTCTGCAGTTGAAGTTACCTTCTGATGTTCATTCATGTTTATTTCATGCTATAACCAGTGTTGCCAAGTCTGCGGTTCTCCCGCGGAATTGGGCTACTTAACGCTGTTGCCGTGGGTTGTTTTTCATGTCCGCGGGTTGAAGCAAGCGACTCCAATAACATGATATTTATCCCCTGGAACGTGGATTTTTAACTGGGGACCCCCTCTACATGCGATTGGGCTAGTTTTGGGCTCGTTTTGAGAAGCGATTGGGCGGGTTGTCTTGTGAAAAGCTGGCAACCCTGGCTATAACTAGTAAAGAGGAAGAGATAATCGGTTCTTGAACGGAGGAGCTAAAACGACACATTAAAGAGCCACAAAACGGTATTTATTGTTTGAATTTCTTTTGTGAAGGGTCAATTACAAGACAAAGTCAGACTTGTGAGATAAATATTCGCAATTACGTTTTTATTTTTTATTCCATGGTGGAAACATTGCGAGACACGGAATTGCAAGAAAAAAAGTCTGAATTCTGAGTTTATATCTCAAAATTATTACCTTTTTTATTTCATGGCGGAAATGGCCTTTCATAGTTTACTGACATCCTACTCATCAGTAAAGTTGAATGTTGACAAACCTCTCTAACGCTCTCATATGCCACTGTGAAATGAAATCTCACCCACCAGGTCTGCTGATGAAGTCACAGTGTCCGATCCCGGCCGTCTCCATCCTCTTCAGATAGAGCGCCGTGGACGTGATGTTGGACTCCAGAATGCGAGGAGGGATCTCAGCGGGCAGCTGAACGTCCTCAGGATACAAACAGAAGCACTTCCCTTCAAACAAACACATTCAGCAGTGATTCACTATAAATATATAAAGTCTTATAAACATTTATTCATTCATTCATTTTTAATGTCATATATATATATATATATATATATATATATATATATATATATATATATATATATATGCATAAATGTTTAAGACATTACAATGAATTAACATATATATATATATATATATATATATATATATTAATATATATATATATATATATATATAAAT